ATTGAGGAGATTGAGGAGAGGAGATTGATGAGATTGGAGATTGAGGAGATTGAGGAGATTGAGGAGATTGAGGAGATTGAGGAGATTGAGGAGATTGAGGAGATTGAGGAGATTGAGGAGATTGAGGAGATTGAGGAGATTGAGGAGATTGAGGAGATTGAGGAGATTGAGGAGATTGAGGAGGATTGAGGAGATTGAGGAGATTGAGGAGATTGAGGAGATTTGAGGAGATTGAGGAGATTGAGGAGGTTGAGGAGATTGAGGAGGTTGAGGAGGTGAGCGAGGAGGAAGGAGGAGGAGGAGGAGGAGGAGGAGGAGGAGGAGGAGGAGTAGGAGGAGGAGGAGGGACGAGGAGGAGGGGGAGGAGGAGAGGAGGAGTGAGGTGGGGAGGAGTGGGGAGGAGGAGGAGGCGGAGGAGGAGGAGGAGAGGAGGAAGGGAGGAGGAGGAGGAGGAGAGGAGGAGGAGGGAGGAGAGGAGGGGAGGAGGGAGGAGGGCGGAGGGAGAGGGTGAGGAGGGAGAGGGAGGAGGGAGGTGGGAGGAGAGGAGGGAGGAATGGGAGGAGGATGGAGGGAGGAGGAAGGAGGGAAGGAGGGAAGAGGGGAAGGAGGGAAGGAGGGTAGGAGGGAAGGAGGGAAGGAGGAAGGAGGGAGGAGGAGGGAGGAGGGAGGGGGGGAGGATGGGAGGATGTGGAGGAAGTAGGAGGGAGGAGGAAGGTGGGAGGAGGGAGGAGGGAGGAGGGAGGGGGGATGAGGGAAGAGGGGGGAGGGGGGAGAGGGGAGGGGGCAGGACAAGCTAGGTGCGCTCGCGTCATATCTGACGTCCTACCCCTCCCCATCTTTTACCATGGCGTAGACCTCCTCTCTATTCGCACATTTAGATGTCGAGCGGGGCAATGATCGCGAGAGGGTGCGCGATGCATCGCAGAGGACGGCATGGCATGGCGTAGAAGAGCACGGCAGAGCGTATAATGTCAGCATGGCGTGGCATTGTGTAGTGAAGCGTTGCATCACAAAGCATGGCAACACAAAGCATGGCATCGCACACCAGCGCAGAACAAAACACCGCACAGCATGTCATGGCCGGGCACTGGGTTCCTTGGAGGGTGTGCGGATAGTCTTCGAAGGGTCGGGGCCAGTTTGGAGTCGCGGCTCCATGTTTAGTTCGGGGCACTGATGGAGAGGACCCCGCTGGCTCTGCAACATCGCCTTCTGAAGGCAGAAACGGCCAAAGTTCAACGAATCGACACCGGATGTTTAAGCACTTGCGACGTTTGGGTAATTTTCTAGATTTGGGGCCTATTTGGAGGGACCGAAAACGCTCGCGCTGCAGCGCAAGCACGTTTTGGAACAACCAGAGGCGCAGAAATGGGGCCAGCGCTGCAGCGGGAGCAACATTTTGAAGGACCGAACAAAAATCTGATTTCCAAACACACACACACACACACTTGAAAACCAGGAAATAAGGCCAGCGCTGCAGCGGGAACACGATTGGGAACGAGTGGAAACGCGGAAATGAGGCCAACGCTGCAGCGGGAGCACGATTCGGAACGAGCGGAAGGCCGAAACTGAGGCCAGCGCTTGAGCGCGAGCAACATTTGAAAAACCACCCAGGCGAAAACCCAGTTCCCGAGAATCTTGTGTTTAAGCAGTAAGCGGAGGGGGCCCAATATCTTCCGGGCGTCATCACGGGAGAGAGGAGAGTAGTATTCATATAGTGGGAGGAGGTGGAGGAGGACAAGGAGGAGGAGGAGGAGGAAAAGAAGGAGGAGCAGGAGGAGGAGGAGGAGGAGGAGGATGAGGAGGAGGACGAGGAGGAGGAGGCACAGGAGGAGGCGGAGGAGAGGAGGAGGAGGAGAGGAGGAGGCGGAGGAGGAGGAGGAGGAGGATGGGGGGAGGAGGAGGAGGGAGGAGGGAGGGGAGGAGGGAGGAGAGGAGGAGGCGGAGGAGGAGGAGGCGGAGGAGGAGGAGGCGGAGGAGGAGGGGGAGGAGGAGGAGGGGGATCGAAGACTTCCTCCTCATCCGCCTACGTACTCCTCCGCCTCCCTTTTCGCCTCCCCCTCCGCCTATTCTTCTTCTTCTTCTTCCTCTTCTTCTTTTTCTTCTCCTCCTTCTTCTTCTCGTCCTTCTTGTCTTTCTCCTCCGTCTTCTTCTTTTTCTTATTCTTCTTCTTCTTTGTTTCCTTCTTCTTCTTATTATTATTCTTATTATTCTTGCTCTTCTTCTTCTCCTCCTTCTTTTCCTTCTTTTCTTCTTTTCCTCCTCCTTCTCCTCCTCTTCCTCTTTCTCCTCCTCCGCCTCATCCTCCTCCTCCTCCCCCTCGTCGTCCTCCTCCTCCTCCTCCTCTTCCTTCTCTTCCTCCCTACCCCCCGAGCCCGTCCACCCCGAGGCCCCTTCCTGTCGGGGGGGCGCCGCCTGTCCATCTCGTCGCCGTCGTCGTCGTCGTCGTCGTCGTCGTCGTCGTCGCCGTCGCCGTCGCCGTCGCCGTCGCCGTCGCCGTCGCCGTCGCCGTCGCCGTCGCCGTCGCCGTCGTCCGTCGCCGCCGCCGCCGCCGTCGTCGTCGTCGTCTTGGTCGTCGTGGACGTCGTCGTCGTCGTCGTCGTCGTCGTCGTCGATGGCGTCGTCTGCACCGCTCCCCTGTCCCCTCTCCTCGCCGCCGCGGTGCGATCATGGACCGCGCCGGGGGCGCGGCGGCGCGCGGCGGGAAGTGGCGCGGCAGGATTTTCAGGGGTTTGACGACTCTTCTCCAATCGACTTGCGGGGATTAATCGGCGGCGAGCGAGGGGGGAAGTAAGAAGGAGAAGGACTTCTCAGAGGGCGGCGGGACTTCGCAGAAGCCCTCGCGCATTCTCAGAAATTTTGTGTGTCTTCGGGGAAGGCTGAGAAAACTTATCAGAAGCCCGGGGGACTTCCGAGCCTTCTGAGAAGGCCCGCCCATTCTTAGAAGACAAGTCGCGAAACGAGTTCAATGTCAGATATGAACTGCGTTAAACCCTCCGAGCTCGCGGGCGATTGCCCCTGACCCGAGCAAGAAGGACAGCTTGACCCCAGCTCGCGAAACCCGAGAGAGCTGGAAACGTCTCCGCCGACTTTCCCACGCAGGCCGCGCGCAACAATGGACCAGCGTAGCAAAAAGGACAATCCCGCGCGAAAAAGACAGCATTGCCGAGCATTAGCTTTCACGCAAGGTGGGAACATTGGCTAGACGTAGGCACGCACGTAGGACCGGAGCTTAAAGCAAACGTCTGGCGAGATGCCGAAGGCCAGCATGGTGACAACTCACGGCCGCTGACACATGAAACACGAGTAACAAATGGAGCTGCCACATGCCCTGCCCGATACGCCAAAAAAGGAAACCCTGCAGCCCAAATGGAGCGACTGGAAACTACTGAAAATAAACCACGCTGTTGTGCTACATCTCCTGCACTTCTCGTTCATGAGACTGCTCAGGGAACGCGCGCAGGTAGTTAGCGGCCTTGGCAGCGAATCATCACATGCACCTGGGCTGCTGGTCGGCCTCAGAGGAGTGCTTCCTACTACCCGATGGCCAGTCTGTCGAGCTTGCCACTTTGCTGATGTGCGACCGCTGCTGCGGCGTCCTTTCCGCCCTTATCAATGATCTCTGCAATCCTTGCTTGGCTTGGCGACCGGCTTGCCGCGTGCGCCTCGGGGAATCTCGAGCGATGCAGGTGACGATGGGCTTCGCGTTCGTGCCGTGTCTGCGTTTGAGCGCTGTGGCTGCTTGCTCGACAAGACTGGGCGCATGCGTCGGAGGATTCTGTCACTTCTTTAGGAAGACGCCCTCCTGCGGGGGCGCCGGTGCCACTGAAGCCGCACTGCCACGTTTGGTCGCTGGAACTGCTGTAATCTTGTGACCCCCCGCCCGATTCAGCGGCCGTGGAACGATCATCATCAGTAGTGTTTGGTGAAATTGTTGAAACGTGTCTGCGTTGTGGCGCTGCTGCTGGCGCGACTCCGCGGCCTACCCTCGCCTGCTGACGGAAGAACAGGTGAAGTTGGACAGGTCTGGCGCGAGTGCTTGCTGCATCTTGTTAAGTATGCTGCTGAAAAACATATGTAACATAGGCCTGCATGCCCTCTCGCATGACTGGTGACTCGCGAAGCTCGATCCGCAACATGAGGCGGCTTTCTGCAGGGGCCGCATCGTCGAATGGAACCAGATGCTGCGCTGGCGGACTGGCGCCGTCCCCCCATATTCCCCGGGGAGAACTGATCACGAACGAGATGCCAATGCTTGAGTGCAGACTGTCGGGAATGCAGAATTGCAGTGGTCTGGCGTATGACGCGAGCAGTGGCGCCATATCGGGTGCGCGGGGGCACAGTCTTATTTACCTTGTGACGTACCCAACCCATTTGCATCAAGTGACAAGAGGAGTTGGCCCACTTTTGCAAGGACAATGACAGTTCAGGCGCCGTTATATGTTGTGCAGGCTACCTGGGATGCGGTCACGGAGCACGATTCACAGGACAACAGCATAATGACGAGGAGCGAACGCCTGGGCTTGAGGAGGACATGGGGGCGGGAACGAAGGGCAGGACAAGTGCGCGTGGGGGGCCGACCCGTCAGCGCGGCAGCAGCAGAGGGAAGGTGGCAGGGGGCGGAGGGCGACGACGAAAGTGACGGGGGGAGACCGAAGAGTGTTGCCTTTGTCGGTAGCGCGCTAGAGATGCAGCGCTGCCCGCGCCATGTCGCCGCGGCGCCCGACAACATGATTGAAGCTGCTCATAATTTGTGCAAGAAGCGAGCGAGGCCTAGCTCGCCCGCTGACCCCCCCTGCTTTCTTCTCGCACTCCTCAGTGCGGGAGCTAAACGCTCGAAGGCGCGCCGCCAGGTCTGCGGGCGGTCCGCGACGGCGCCCCGCTGTATTCCCCGGCAGCCCGTGAAAGTGGTGACAGTTTCGCAGATCGCAGCCCCCCAGGGATGGCGAGGTCTACTCTGAGTTTGGGTGGTGCCTCACTCCGCTGAACCCCCAGAAGGCTTCGAAACTTGCGACGGTTTCGCAGATGGTATCCCCCCAGGGATGGCGAAGTCTAAAGTGAGTAGTCTGGGTGGTGCCTCACTCCGCTGAACTCCCCAGCAGCCTTCGAAAATGGTGACGGTTTCGCATATCGCAGCCCCCCAAGGATGGCGGGGTCCAATCGGAGTCTGGGTCGTGCCTCACTCCGCTGGGTCCCCCCGTTAGCCTTCGAAAGTGGTGACGGTTTGGCAGATCGCAGCCCCCAGAGACGGCGAGGTGTAACCTGGGTCCTGGGTGGTGCCTCATTCCGCTGGATCCCCCAACGGCCTTCGAAAGTGGCGGCAGCTTCGCAGATCGCAGTCCCCCAAAGATGGCGAAGTGTACTCCAGATTTCGTAATAAAAGGGAGGGGGTCTGGACCCTCCTAGACAAGCCATTTCAGACCCCCCCCCGTGGGAAAACCCTCCAAAACATCGTCCCCAGACCCCCCCAGGCCCTCCAAGATAGCCTGGAAGAGACCCCCCCCGAAATGAGACCCCCCTCCGTTGATTACGAAGTCTGGAGAAGTCTGAGTGTCGGTGGTGCCTCACTCCGTTGGACCCCCCAGCAGACTTCGAACGTGGCGGCCGCTTCGCACACCGCGGCCCCCCAGGGATGGCGAGCTATAATCGGGGTCCGCGGCCGGTGCCCACTAATTATGCTGGCCCCCTCAGCAAACCCTTGCGACAGATTGGCAGATCGCCCCCCCCCCCCCGCCCCCCAGAGCGGCGAGATGTAGTCTGCATCCGCTGCGGGTGCCCACTACGTTGGCCCCCCCAGCAACGCTCGAAAGTGGCGGCAATTTCAGACCGCAGCCCCCCGGGGATGGCGAGAGGTCTAGTCTGAGTGCGCGGCGGGTGCCCGCTATGCTGGCCCCCGCGGCAGCCTTCGAGAGTGGGTGCCGTTTCGCAAACCGCAGCCCCCCAGAGATGGCGAAGTCCTGTTTGAGTCTGCGGCGGGTACTCACTACGCTGTCCCACCCAGCTGCCTTCGAAATTGGCGACAGTTTCGCAAATCGGAGCCCCCCAGGGATGGCGAGGTCTAGACTGCGTGTGCGGCGGGTGCCCGCTATGCTTGCAACCGTCGGGACTCGCGGCAGTTTCTCAGAACGCAGCCCCCCAGGGATGGCGAAGTCCGATGTGGGTCTGCGGCGGATACCCACTATGTAGACCCCCGCAGCAGCGACCGTTTCGCGGACCGCAGCCCCCCCAGGGATGGCGAGGTCTAATCTGAGTCTACGGCGGGTACCCCCTATGCTGGCCCCATCGAAAGTGGCGGCAGTGTCGCAGACCGCAGCTCCCAATGCATGCCAACTTCACATTTCGCAGGCCCCATTGGCAAACCACCGGGCGCACCGGAGAGAAGAGGAGAGGAGACGGGAAGCGGGGAAGAAGAGGAAGGAAGGACGCAAACCGCAGTGCTCTATTCAAAACGAGAACCCAACGCAGGAGGGTAAGGGCAAATCCCTTTGTGGCACCGCAACCAAGATGCGAGGCAGGGCGTTTGTGTCTGTCCCCGCCTTCTGCCCTCGTCTGCCTAGTCCTTTGGAGCACTCCTTGCCACCGTTGTGGAGATCTGAACCGTTGGAGCTAGATCGCGTCTTGTGCGTTCTGCGCAGTTTCTTTTCGTGCGTGTGTGCGTGCGCGCGTGTGCGTGCTCCCGCCGCTGTTCTGTGCCAAGGCAGCTTCCGACGCCGTGCCTCGCGCAGAGAGAACATCATTCGTCTCCGCCACTGACCGTCCCTGACGGGTCAATGGGAACAGAACGTGCCGGTTCCCCCCGGCCGTCCCCCGGTGCCGCCGCCATGCCGGTGGGCGGCGACAGTGGCGAACGAGCTAAGGATGATTCTCGGGGAGACGCCGGCGACAAGGGCCACGATGCCCAGGGTGGAGCGCCCGCGGGCGCGGCAGGCAGCAGCAGCAGCAGTTTCACATATGCGGCGCTCGGGCTGAGGAGCATCCTGCGCGATGAGATCAGGGCGGCGTTCACCGCCTCGAGGTCAGTGGGCCATGCGTCGGAAGGTGCAGCTCGCCAGCATGACCTCAGCAGGCTCGTCCGACCCGCAGGGGCAGATGGACCCTTGGCGGGGCGGACATTGGCGAGGCACCAGGCGGAACGACAGTGCGCCGTGGGCTGTCGGAGGCTGGCGGGCAGCTTCTGATCGATCGCAGCGGGGCTCCCGACCTGGTGCGGCCATGAGGCGGGCGAGGCGGTTGGACGATGACGGCAAAAGATGGGGCGCCGGCAATGACTGGCGCGACAGGGGCGGCCGTGGGGGCAACTCATGGTGTGCGTCTTCGTGGTGGGAGAACACCCGGCCTGGGAGATCCTGGTCCTTGGTTGGGCTGAAGTGAGTAGCGTCTCTGGCGCCGAGGCGCTCGGCGGTGGCTCGCGGGCGCAGGAGTGGCTGCCGCCCGTCGGGCCGACATGAAAGTTCTGAAGGTTTTCGAGCTGGACTTGAGGGGGATCACCACCCACCACCGCCAATATCGGCGGTGTGCCTCCACCGAGGGAAGAAAGTCCCGATCTCGGTGCTGGTGGTAATATTCTGGCTTCCAAGGTGACTGAACTATTGCCACCAGCACCGAAATCTAGGATCATCTTCCCCCTGTGGAGGCAAACCCCTGTGTTGGTGTTGGTGCCCATTTCCAGGCCTCCAATCTTCCAGATTCCATCCTCGTCGGCGGAGGCCGGGCCCCAGG